TGACCTCCGACCCCCTGGTAACCAGGGTTACCCGACCTCGGACTCCCTGGTTACCAGGGTTACCTGACCTCCGACCCCCTGGTAACCAGGGTTACCCGACCTCGGACTCCCTGGTTACCAGGGTTACCTGACCTCCGACCCCCTGGTTACCAGGGTTACCCGACCTCTGACCCTGGCAGTCCCCTGCTGAAGCGGACGTTACCTCTGAGGTGGAAGAAGTCCAGGTGGTTGCTGACGGCCTGGTTGAACGTCTCCTCGGAGCAGAGCTTCACTCCGCTGGGAAACAGAACGTTCCTCTTCCTGCGGATCAGAACGGAGTGTTTCCTGAAGGACAGCTGGTCCGAATCCACAGGTCCTGCTGCCAGGTCCTGACCAGGATCTGGAGGAAACAGAACCGTCTTACAGGGTAAAACCAGACGGAGCAGGAAGGTGTTCTGAAACATTCGGGTCCATTAATAGAACGGTTCTGCTACGTCGTCAGAACCGCCTGTTCTCTTTGGGTCTAACTGATTGACAGAGCTCAGTTCTGCAGGGTTCTGGTTCCCCTGAACTATTTTGGCCTTCAGTCTAAGAAAACAAGCCCAGGACTCTAGAAACCACGGTAACAGCCATGAAGGCGCCTCCACTCACCCGTCTCCGTGCACAGCAGCCCTGACAGCAGCACGGCCCACAGCGTCCACAGAACCACGCTCCTCCCAAACATTTTCTCTCCCAACAGGTCCCTTGGTTCCCTCACCTCCACCGACTCGTTCTTCCTCCGCCTCTCATGGCAGAACTAACAGAACCGGGCTGGGTGGAAAAGCGGCGGCGTCTCCCTCTCAGCTGAGCAGATGGCAGATTGGTTAATCCCATTTGCTAAGCTGCTGGAGTGGATGAGTGTCAGAGGTCCGACTGGAGGCACTGATCTGTGAGCCTAAATGGTTACCGGATCGCCTCGCCGGGTCCCGGATCCGTTAGGAACCGACTACTGAGCCTCAACGGGTCCCGGACCGGTTCAGTCAGTGATAACCAGAACCAGTGGGAATACTGGATCCATAGATAACCAGAACCAGTGGGAATACTGGATCCATAGA